GTATTGAGCCGAAGTGGCCGTAATAGTATTTAACAAGTGGAATGCACTGAAAGAAGAAGCTGTGAAAGCCACCTCCATCGACAACTTTAAGGCCAGATTCGACAAAAAACTTAAACGTCAGAATTGTTCAGTCATATAGCAACAGGCACCACACGGCTGGTTGGTGAGGCATAAAGAGCCAGACCTCACTCCCCCGTAGACATTGTTAGGTAAGTACTACGTATCCTGAGTGCTGAGCGTGTGTGTGCATGCCTGTGGGTGTTTGTGTGCATGCATCTTTGAGGCCGTGCTTGCGTGTGTGTGTGTGTGGATGTAGATGGCTTGCACAACTTCCTTTCTCAGTGCATGCCACGTGTTGACCACCCGTATAGGGTACCAGTATTTCCTAAGATTTCTTTGACTCATTTAAGTTTCCAGATTCCATTTATGCCCGCTAGCCCTACTTCCAATCATTTAAAGAGGCTGACCTGTTCCACCTTGTCAATTCCCCTAAGTATCTTGTATGTTGTAATCATATCCTCTCTGTTTCTTCTCTACCCCTTCAAGAATATGAAGTCTAGCGTTCTTAATCTACTTTCATAGCATAACCCTCTTAGCTCTGGTATTAATCTTCTTGTAACCTTTGTACTTTTAAAATGTTGGTTTTATACTACACAAGGTGGCGTTCCAGGCCTGTGCTGCATATTCCACTACTGGTCCAACGAAAGTATGTAGATAGCCTCGATTGGATTGAATTCTATCGACCATTTGACCTCTTTTGGAGTGTGTCAAGGTCATGCTGTAACTTTCTGCAGTTGTTTACAGTTTTATATTCCTCATAAGCTTTGCATCATCTGCAAATATTGACGTGTATGAGCTCAATCCCTCGGGGCTCGGGTAGATCATTGGTATACATGAGGACTGGCAGGGGTTTTAGGGTCGAACCTTGGGAACTCTACTTGTTACAGTCCTCCAACTTGAAGCCTCGTTTTCTGAGTGCGACCATTTTTTGTCCTTCAGGTAGTCCCTTACATAGTTTAATTTTTTTTTTTTTTTTTTTTTTTTTTTTTTTTTTTTTTTTTTTTTTTTTGAGATATATACAAGAGTTGTTACATTTTTGTACAGCCACTAGTACGCGTAGCGTTTCGGGCAAGTCCCTGGAATACGATCCCCTGCCGCGAAGAAGAAGAAGATAACTTCTTTCCTGTTATCCAATATTGCTTCTCCATCTTTTATACTAGGCTTTTACATGGAACAGGTTCAAATAATTTTTGATTAGGAAAATATTGCCTGCCGAGCCCCCCTTTTCCTGTCCTATTAAAATAGGACAGGAAACCGTATAATAAAATCTTACAATAAAACTCTATTAAATTTTCAATTATTCTCAATCTGATTACTTTTTCCAGCTCATAAAACTAAATTCTTGTAGTGACACTGGTCTGGAGTTTAGTGCCTCTTGTTTGTCACCTTTTTAGGATATTTTTACTATGTTTGCATTTTTCCTAAATTCTGGGAGGTTTCCAGTCTCAAGTGTTGTATAGACAAATGTATCCATCAAGTGACAAAGAACCTCAGCAGCCACCTTCTACAGCTATGGTGATCTTAGATCAGGTTCTCCTGATTTTGCTGCACTTATTCCTAAACGTGTTTTTTTTTAATCTGTACATTGATTACTACATCAACCAGTGTCACCTCTGCTCTTTCATGATGCAGATATAGTCTGCATGCTGGACGTTTTGTAAAGTCCTTCTTAAAACCTTTTGTTGATTTTCTTAAACTATCTCCTTCCTCGGAGATAGTTTAGACTCGGAGGGAGCCGAGCGGCCAGCACGCTGGACTTGTGATCCTGTGGTCCCAGGTTCGACCCCGGGCGCCGGCGAGAAACAATGGGCAGAGTTTCTTTCCCCCCTATGCCCCTGTTACCTAGCAGTAAAATAGGTTCCTAGGTTTTAGTCAACTGTCACGGGCTGCTTCCTGGGGGTGGAGGCCTGGTCGAGGACCGGGCCGCGGGGACACTAAAAGCCCCGAAATCATCTCAAGATAACCTCAAGATAACCTTCCTCTTTATGTAAGCATCTTACTTTGTCTCTTCAATCTGATCACATAATCTCTTCCCATTGTTTTCCCTCCTTATATGGCAATAGAACAGCATTAGTTAAGCATTGACTTTCTCAACACTGTCGTTTTCAAATTGTCTCTCCGCTTCTCTTTTGACTCTGGTGTATTCATTTCTGTCTCTATTCAGTGGTACTCTGTTCTCCCCCATTCCTAGGTTTCTGTTTTTTCCTATGTTTTTCTGAGCTTCTTTGTTCCCCCTGTAGTGTCCACTGACCTTGTTCCCCCTGTAGTGTCCACTGACCTTGTTCCCCCTGTAGTGTCCACTGACCTTGTTCCCCCTGTAGTGTCCACTGACCTTGTTCCCCCTGTAGTGTCCACTGACCTTGTTCCACCTGTAGTGTCCACTGACCTTGTTCCACCTGTAGTGTCCACTGACCTTGTTCCCCCTGCAGTGTCCACTGACCTTGTTCCACCTGTAGTGTCCACTGACCTTGTTCCCCCTGCAGTGTCCACTGACCTTGTTCCACCTGTAGTGTCCACTGACCTTGTTCCCCCCCCTGTAGTGTCCACTGACCTTGTTCCCCCTGTAGTGTCCACTGACCTTGTTCCCCCCCCCCCCCTGTAGTGTCCACTGACCTTGTTCCCCCCCCCTGTAGTGTCCACTGACTTTGTTCCCCCTGTAGTGTCCACTGACTTTGTTCCCCCTGTAGTGTCCACTGACCTTGTTCCCCCTGTAGTGTCCACTGACCTTGTTCCCCCCCTGTAGTGTCCACTGACCTTGTTCCCCCTGCAGTGTCCACTGACCTTGTTCCACCTGTAGTGTCCACTGACCTTGTTCCCCCTGCAGTGTCCACTGACCTTGTTCCCCCTGCAGTGTCCACTGACCTTGTTCCCCCTGCAGTGTCCACTGACCTTGTTCCCCCTGCAGTGTCCACTGACCTTGTTCCACCTGTAGTATCCACTGACCTTGTTCCACCTGTAGTATCCACTGACCTTGTTCCCCCTGTAGTGTCCACTGACCTTGTTCCACCTGTAGTGTCCACTGACCTTGTTCCCCCTGCAGTGTCTGCTGACCTTGTTCCCCCTGCAGTGTCTGCTGACCTTGTTCCCCCTGTAGTGTCTGCTGACCTTGTTCCCCCTGCAGTGTCTGCTGACCTTGTTCCCCCTGCAGTGTCTGCTGACCATGTTCCCCCTGTAGTGTCTGCTGACCATGTTCCCCCTGTAGTGTCTGCTGACCTTGTTCCTCCTGTAGTGTCCACTGACCTTGTTCCCCCTGCAGTGTCCACTGACCTTGTTCCCCCTGCAGTGATTTCTGACCTTGTTCCCTGTTGGAAATTTCCAACACTAATACAATATTATTGTATTATTATAAAATAGTGTTAAAATATATTAATTACTGTAGTTACTAAAATTTACTAACAGTAGGGTTCACATGAACTAATAATCATATCTGTATAATGATGCTGGAATTCTTACGAAACCAAGCTCCAGTATTGCGTCAGATTCTACCTATTTAAACACATTTATATCTAGTGTGTTAGAGAATTGAATGTGATTCTCTAAAATCATCAGTATTCCGTGTGATAATTATTTACGGATAACATAACTCCCAAATAATTCCAAATCGAGAGTTTTTAGTTACAATTGTTATCAAGTAATAAATTTACCGTCACGCGTGAATGCCATGGAGAAAACTAAAATCTTCTCCGTTTCTTGTTTACCACCATAAGACGAGAAAGTAATAATATTTAATTCCCTAGAATTACAACCCAGTCTTTATTAAAGCATTTTAGCCACAACTGCGCGAAATAATATTATTCGTGATAAATAATTTCTGTGGCGAATGCGAGACGCCGGGGAGAGGGAGACGCCATTGTGTGTGTGGCAACGACTGCTCGAGGAGGAGAAGTCGCCAGCGTGCGGCGTGAAGTTACTTGTTGCGGAATTGAGCAACTTGTTTTGGTGTCAGAGTCTAGGACATGTTACGGTGAAGTTGTCAGCAAGATTTAACATGATACTCATCAAAGAACTAGTTAATTTGTTCTACGTGATCTGTCGTGACCGGCCAGATAAACGCGTCGACATTCAAGCCAAGCTATGAACCACGTGTTCGCCATTGTGAGAGTGGAGCTTGTGACGCGGTTTCGGCAAGCCTCAACTTAATCAGTACCCTTTTAGCTAAGTATATATAACTTCCTTTTGATGCATCATTAGAGATTGTATAAGGCAGGGTAGCTTGTCGTTACATCGAGCAACTTAAACAAAACCAATGTTAGTATTCTAACTAATTAATTTTCCATTTCCATGAATATAGATATTTTAGTAGCCTAGTACATTGCTACGTAATATCCCTTAAATTACAGCTTGCGTGTGAGGAATCCACGAGCTGTTACCTTACCCGTGTACATCTCCCAGTGTTCTACGAGGAATTCCGGAGAACCCGAGGATGATTCGTAACTGATGTCTTTGAAATCGTCTTCAAGCTAAGACTTTTCGTATTCCCTTAATTAGTCAAATTCTCATTATTTATTTATCATTTAATGGAATACTATGTACACTGGAGATAATACGTGATTATTATAATGATGAATTTCTGATGTTACTGATATATATATATATATATATTTACTGGTGATAAATTTTCTATTGTTTCTTTAATTGGTCATAAGATTAGGTTATTACACAATGAACTGGTGCACGAACCACACTAGTTCCTAGACATATATGAAGTTCTAGCAATAACCCCCCAATGTAGGTGTTTGAGGCTTTGATTCAAGTAAATTCTTTATACAGCCCATTATTTACTTAAGTGATTATATTTCCTAATATTTATCCATAGATACTGGTTCTTCTAGGAATTTCTTATCACTTTTTATTAGTTTCCCTCTTTACTATAAAAGCGGGTGGTCCTTCGTAATTGATTTCATTATTTTAATAATCAAACAAATAGAGTCAAGCCCCAAATGTCCCACATTCCCCCTGTAGTGTCCACTGACCTTGTTCCATCTGCAGTGTCCACTGACCTTGTTCCCCCTGCAGTGTCTGCTGACCTTGTTCCCCCTGCAGTGTCTGCTGACCTTGTTCCCCCTGCAGTGTCTGCTGACCTTGTTCCCCCTGCAGTGTCTGCTGACCTTGTTCCCCCTGCAGTGTCTGCTGACCTTGTTCCCCCTGCAGTGTCTGCTGACCTTGTTCCCCCTGCAGTGTCTGCTGACCTTGTTCCCCCTGCAGTGTCTGCTGACCTTGTTCCCCCTGCAGTGTCTGCTGACCTTGTTCCCCCTGCAGTGTCTGCTGACCTTGTTCCCCCTGCAGTGTCTGCTGACCTTGTTCCCCCTGCAGTGTCTGCTGACCTTGTTCCCCCTGCAGTGTCTGCTGACCTTGTTCCCCCTGCAGTGTCTGCTGACCTTGTTCCCCCTGCAGTGTCTGCTGACCTTGTTCCCCCTGCAGTGTCTGCTGACCTTGTTCCCCCTGCAGTGTCTGCTGACCTTGTTCCCCCTGCAGTGTCTGCTGACCTTGTTCCCCCTGCAGTGTCTGCTGACCTTGTTCCCCCTGCAGTGTCTGCTGACCTTGTTCCCCCTGCAGTGTCTGCTGACCTTGTTCCCCCTGCAGTGTCTGCTGACCTTGTTCCCCCTGCAGTGTCTGCTGACCTTGTTCCCCCTGCAGTGTCTGCTGACCTTGTTCCCCCTGCAGTGTCTGCTGACCTTGTTCCCCCTGCAGTGTCTGCTGACCTTGTTCCCCCCTGCAGTGTCTGCTGACCTTGTTCCCCCTGCAGTGTCTGCTGACCTTGTTCCCCCTGCAGTGTCTGCTGACCTTGTTCCCCCTGCAGTGTCTGCTGACCTTGTTCCCCCCTGCAGTGTCTGCTGACCTTGTTCCCCCTGCAGTGTCTGCTGACCTTGTTCCCCCTGCAGTGTCCGCTGACCTTGTTCCCCCCTGCAGTGTCCACTGACCTTGTTCCCCCCTGCAGTGTCCGCTGACCTTGTTCCCCCTGTAGTGTCCACTGACCTTGTTCCCCCTGTAGTGTCCACTGACCTTGTTCCCACCTGTAGTGTCCACTGACCTTGTTCCCCCTGTAGTGTTCACTGACCTTGTTCCCCCTGTAGTGTTCACTGACCTTGTTCCCCCTGTAGTGTCCACTGACCTTGTTCCCACCTGTAGTGTCCACTGACCTTGTTCCCCCTGTAGTGTCCACTGACCTTGTTCCCACCTGTAGTGTCCACTGACCTTGTTCCCCCTGTAGTGTCCACTGACCTTGTTCCCCCCTGCAGTGTCCACTGACCTTGTTCCCCCTGTAGTGTCACTGACCAGGGGTTTACTTCATTCGTCATCCCTCTTGAGTGGGATGATCATCTCCGTTGCAGCTGCACATTTCTCAACAACGATGATGAGTAATTCCATTATCTCATTTGTTGTTTTCTCTTCCAGTTCTCTTCCTCAATGGGCTTCATTACGATAGTCCTTCACTTTACTGTTGTCCCAAAGTCTAAAATCTCTCTTCTTCCTCAACGTGTATTTTTGGTCCATGCAACACGTTTAGCGAGCATGATAATGCAGTTGTCACTCGCTGCAAGAGTAATCTCGTATTCTATTACTTCCATATCCGGCTTAATTTGGGTAAACAGAAGGTCAGTGATGCTGGTGGATCCACTCCTCTGACTCTTGTTGGGTATGTAGTGTGTTGCTTCAAGAAATGTTTGTCTACTGTGTCTACTAGTTCTACTATCCATGTCGCTTCCACCCCCCCCCCCCCTCGTGGTGATACTTAACGAGGTGATACTTATTAATGCAGTCTATTCTGTGTGATTTATATAAGTCGTTACGGATTAAGTTTCTAAATTCTGATAATGTCACAGTATTAATACAGTAGTGTCAATACTGTGACACTTTTACGTAATTAATTCACTCTACATTTTATGTTAACTTGCGCAATTAAAGTTTCCAACCAATTATGAATAAAGTCTTGGAAATCCTTTCATTGAAATCCCAAAATATTTTAACCGTTGCCTCAATCCCCTTTTCTACTGTGTGTGCATTTAGTCATTAGCTTCAGCAAGTCATTATCACATTTATCATATTCTTCCCTCAGACTTGTTCTATTTGGTGGGAATTGTAAATCACGGTTGCCACTCTCGTCACGCCGCCATCTAGTCCTAGTAAGTGCTCCTGCTTACCGGTTCACCTATTGCTTTGACTTCTTCAAATCTGAAGTACAGTTATAACAGTAGGAGTACCCAGCCTTCACCTCCATTCATCATGTTTCTTCTTTTTATTTGACATTCATGTGGAAAAATATTTTTTCCTATAACACTTCTCAGTTTCATTTCCGTTATTGCTGTATTGTGTGGTTGATCATCTGCCTCCCTTCCCAGTAACTCTGCTCCATTATTTCAAATTCCATCAACATTTCTGTACACAGGCTGCCTTGATTTCTCCTGTGTAGCGACTCACACCTACACATCGCCACTTTAACTCATCCACCACTAATAACAGCTTAACACCGCCACTGTAACTCATCCACCACTAATAACAGCTACAAGCCGCCAATATAACTCATCCACCACTAACAACAGCTACACACCGCCAATATAACTCATCCACCACTAATAGCAGCTACACACCGCCAATATAACTCATCCACCACTAATAGCAGCTACACACTGCCAATATAACTCATTCACCACTAATAGCAGCTACACACCGCCAATATAACTCATCCACCACTAATAGCAGCTACACACCGCCAATATAACTCATCCACCACTAATAGCAGCTACACACCGCCAATATAACTCATCCACCACTAATAGCAGCTACACACCGCCAATATAACTCATCCACCACTAATAGCAGCTACACACAGCCAATATAACTCATTCACCACTAATAGCAGCTACACACAGCCAATATAACTCATCCACCACTAATAGCAGCTACACACCGCCAATATAACTCATCCACCACTAATAGCAGCTACACACCGCCAATATAACTCATCCACCACTAACAACAGCTACACACCGCCAATATAACTCATCCACCACTAATAGCAGCTACACACCGCCAATATAACTCATCCACCACTAATAGCAGCTACACACTGCCAATATAACTCATCCACCACTAATAGCAGCTACACACCGCCAATATAACTCATCCACCACTAACAACAGCTACACACCGCCAATATAACTCATCCACCACTAATAGCAGCTACACACCGCCAATATAACTCATCCACCACTAACAACAGCTACACACCGCCAATATAACTCATCCACCACTAATAGCAGCTACACACCGCCAATATAACTCATCCACCACTAATAACAGCTACACACTGCCAATATAACTCATCCACCACTAATAACAGCTACACACCGCCAATATAACTCATCCACCACTAATAGCAGCTACACACCGCCAATATAACTCATCCACCACTAATAACAGCTACACACTGCCAATATAACTCATCCACCACTAACAACAGCTACACACCGCCAATATAACTCATCCACCACTAACAACAGCTACACACTGCCAATATAACTCATCCACCACTAACAACAGCTACACACCGCCAATATAACTCGTCCGCCGTCAACAAGAGCTATGTCGCACCAAACAAACAGAACCTAATTTCTTGACCTAGCCAGCATGGCCTGATTTGCTTAACAGGCGGAGCAATTTATATTATTTTCAAATATTTATTTCCAAATTGGTTCATTCTTAACAATAATTATATTACATTAGGAATAAAAATATCCGACTTCTGTGAGGCTAGGTTAGGTTATGATTAGATGGAATAGATTAGGTTAGATAGGTTATGTTTGGTAGTTTAGGTTAGGCGAGGTTAGAGTTGGTAACATTTCTAAGTTAGTGGTTGATCAAATAAAAATGTTGGAATCATATATAGCATTTAACGAAAAAACTTTTTTATTTTCGAAGAGTAAATATTTGGAAAAGTTAATATCTAAGGAAAATTCGGCTTGTTACACAACTCTGGTAATTAAGTACGATAGCTCCACACACCCAATACATACACCACCAATGACAGCTACACTCAGCCAATAAAACTAGTCTACCCTCAAAATAATTCTCTTCGCAACCAATTCATAAGAACAAAAGTAAAAAACTGACGACCACTAAATATTTTTGGGCAGCAAATCGACGGATTTTGATGGAAACTGATGTGGCGTCGAGGCAGAAGAATTTTAAACTGCTGCAGCTTCACTCTGACGGCTCTATCAACTTTTTATCTGAGTAAAACTACAAGAGAAAGAGAGAGATAAGGGTAGAGGGAGTGAGGAGCAGGGTAGGGAAAAGAACAAGAAAGGGATGCAAACAGGCAGAGAGAGAGAGAGCGAGAGAGAGAGAGGGTAGAGGGAGTGAGGAGTCTGGTAGGGAAGAGAGTAAGAGAGAGATGCAAACAGGTAGAGACATAAGGAAAGAGACAGAGTACAAGGTAAAGCTTAACTGATCGTACTCTTTGTTTGGAGGTTATATTGGAAATACTGTCGCTTGTGCTGTGTTTCTTCCCTTATATTCCTGACTGTGCTTCTACATATATATTCCTGACAGTGCTTTGTTATGATCGCCGTCTGATAACAGTCCTTTCCGGTCTCAAGAGTCATTTTTGCCCACCTAGAAAGATCGGTAGACTTCACGAACTATAATTTAAGTTAAAAAGAAAAGAGTCGTATATACAGTCTTGCGTGGCTGTAAAGAGGTGGATTGAGGCAGATTATGAAACAAAACGGCGCCTGGGTGGGCGTTGACCCATCTAGGGCTTGGTGGAGTGCCGCAACACATGCCTCAAGCTTATATAAAATAAGAGATGACTGGTGGAGACTCGGGTGCTCATCCAATCAGCGACGAACTTTCTATGACGTTATCGGCAGGCATCAAGCCCGCTACAAGGAGCGGAGCCCAGTTCACTGTTCGACTAGACTTCAGACAGGAAAGTTGTGACTTTGGGTGCTCTTGCGAAGACCGGCAGATTCGGATCTTAAGGGTCGAGTTGAACCTTGGAGAGGGCCAACAATACTCTGACCATATCGAAACACCAAGGGGTTTCGGAAATTTCGATATATTTTTTTTTTTTTTTTTTTTTTGAGATATATACAAGAGTTGTTACATTCTTGTACAGCCACTAGTACGCGTAGCGTTTCGGGCAAGTCCTTAATCCTATGGTCCCTGGAATACGATCCCCTGCCGCGAAGAATCGTTTTTTCATCCAAGTACACATTTTACTGTTGCGTTAAACAGAGGCTACAGTTAAGGAATTGCGCCCAGTAAATCCTCCCCGGCCAGGATACGAACCCATGACATTGCGCTCGCGGAACGCCAGGCGAGTGTCTTACCACTACACCACGGAGACTGCTAATATATAATTTATGCTAATATATAATAGCTAATATATAATTTACTAACACCTGGTATACCAAGTAAAATCGGCTATGTCAGGAAAATACTAATCTACTAACTTTATCACAGAGAACGGATTTAGTAACATTCCAGAGAAAATGTAATGTTGCCACGTAGGCAAATTCACTTTTTACGTATAGTATTTCTCCTGTGAATACATAAAACCTTCAGTCTAAAGGGTAAATGTGATAAAAACTTACTCCTTAGAATTCTAATTAGGTACCAATCGAATCCAAGGCCAATCTCCAAGTCGATTAAGACGAATTAGGAACTGTGAGAGAGACGCGTCTCTTAAGCGGGAGGGAGAAGCCACGCCACGTACTCCGAATCT